ACCCACACCTTTACCAGGGGGTCCTCGTGTACCTGGGTGACATCCTTATCTTCAGCGAAACCATGGAAGAACATGTTCAATTGGTCTGTCAGGTTCTAGAAAAACTTCTAGCCGCCAAATTATATGTGAAACTCTCAAAATGTGAATTCCACAGTTGTTGGGCTACTTAGGCTACCGAATATACAACCTGGGGATTGAAATGGACCCCGGAAAGGTGAAAGTGGTGCTGGACTGGCAACCCCCCAGAACCCGAAAACAACTTCAAAGTTTCTTGGGGTTTGCCAACTTCTATAGACAATTCATTCCGTCCTTTCCTGAAGTTGCCCTCCCGTTGACGGATCTATTAAAAACGGGCCTGTCGCCCACCAAACCAAAGTCAAGTCAACCCCTGGCTTGTACTATGGACTGTCAGAAAGCTTTTGAGGCCTTAAAACGCCTCTTTGCAGCTGAGCCCATCCTCCAGCACCCAGATGCGACCAAGCCTTTTATTGTCCAAACGGATGCATGTGATGTAGCAGTGGCAGCTGTTTTGCTGCAAAAAGACTCTCAAGGCCGACTGATGCCTTGCACTTATGTGTCCAAAGAGCTGACAGACACAGAGCGAAGGTGGGTGGTCTGGGAGAAAGAAGCATTCGCCGTACGATGGGATTTGTTGACTTGGAGGCATTTTCTAGAAGGGGCACCAGAGGCCTTTGAGGTATGGACTGATCATAAGAACCTCGAGGCTCTAAAGACCCCTAGGAGATTATCACCCAAACAAGTCCACTGGGCCCAATATTTCAAGCGATTCAATTTCAACATTAAATATATCCCCGGAGGGAAAAATGTACTGGCAGACGCTCTGTCCAGAAAACCTCAGTTTGACAGCCACCGAGAGGAAATAGTACAAGCCTTAATTTCAGAAGCTCAATCGGCAGGCCAAGTGACTACTCGAGCCCAAACTAACCACAACCCCAAACGCCTGGAAGATAAGCTGACTACAAAATTGAAAACAGCCCTATTGACCAACCCTTGGTTCCTGGACCATCAAACTGAGTTGACAATGAATGATGAACTAGCTTGGAAAGGGACTAAGCTTTATGTACCCACAACCCTAAGACTACTGGTACTAAAGCATAAGCCACGACTCCCGGCTGGGAGGCCACTTTGGATTCCTAAAAACCCTACATTTACTGAGAAGACAGTTCTGGTGGACAAAAATGAAACCTGATGTCGAGGACTATGTAAAAAGTTGCTCAATTTGTGCCACAATGAAACACAGAACTGGAAAACCCCCTGGCCTCCTGCAACAAGTTGCTGAACCAACCCAACCTTGGGAAGAGATCGCAATGGACTTTATTGTTGAATTACCTAAGAGTGAAGAGAATACGATCATTTGGACTATGATTGACTTATTCTCTAAAAAGGCCCATTTTATAGCCTGTAAAGGACTTCCATCTGCGAAAAAACTTGCAAAGCTGTTTGTGAAACATATCTAGACTACATGGAGTACCTCATAGAATAATATCAGACAGAGGGATACAATTTACCGCAAAATTTTGGAGGGAATTTCTGAAATCCATTGGTTCCTCTCAAGTGTTATCCTCAGCTTTCCATCCTGCTTGTAACGGAGCAGCGTAGAGAGCTAACGCCATGATTGAACAATACATTAGATGCTACGTAAATTATCAACAAGAAAATTGGGCTGAGCTATTACCTTTTGCAGAGGTTGCTTACAATAATGCAGTACATAGCAGCACGGGATTGACTCCATTCCAAATCAACACTGGAATGGATTTTGTCGTGATGCCAGAGTTACCTAGACAACCTCCCTCATCCATGTCCCTAACAGAATGGAAGAACTCATTGAAGAAAGGATGGGAAGATACAAAAAAAGCTTTGACTGAAGCTGCAAAAAATTATAAAAAACAGGTGGATAAACATAGATCCTTTCAACCGCCTTTTAAAGTAGGGGACAAAGTATATTTTTCAACCAAGTATCTTGAAACTGCCCAGTAAGAAGCTGGGTCCAAAATTCTTAGAGTCTGTTCCCAATTTCAAAGATAATCAATCAGGTCACTGTCCAATTAAGTCTTCCTCAAATATTGGGGAAAATTCATCCAGCATTCCATTGTAGTTTACTAAAACCAGCTACTACATCAATGATAAGACCACCGCCAATCGCTCCCCTTAAACCATTAATGGTACAGGGGGAAACACATTACGAAATTCAAAAAATTATTGATTCTAGATTACACCGTGGCCGATTGCAATATTTGGTCTTATGGAAACGATACCCGCTCTCAGATGCTAGTTGGGTAGAGTTGGGATGTTCATGCTGATCAATTGGTTAACCAATTCCAGGAGGATTTTCCCCACAAACCGAAGGGTCCTCATGGAGGGGGGAGAGGGGGTTAAGGACAATGTTCTTTTAGGAGGAGTTGTTTTCAAGGGGGGGACACCTGTCAGCTTTAAAATTCAGCTGTCACATTTCATGGAAGGGGGGTTGGAGGAGTTGAAAAGTTCAAGGTTATTCTGTATGTCGCATTAAGAAATTCCAGTTGCAGTTAATTGGTTCTCGTGATTTATGAAGTATAGAAGTGGGAGGAGAAAAGGGAGAACGTGGATTCTGTGTAATGCGCGAAAATAATTTCACTTTGGGAAATTGCCTTTGACATGCCAGATCTGTTTCTAAATAAATCAATTGGAGAGAAAATGTCTCGGAGTGATTGATATTATGGATACTTTCTGGATGCCTTACAATTGAAACATGGCCGCCTTGGGAATTCTGGGAGCTGAAGTCCAGAGGGGGCCCACCCTGCTTTAGCAAAGCAAGATGTTGGATTTATCCAGAAGTTGTGCCATGATGCACCTGTCAGGACAGGTAGATCCTCCTGAAGATGCCAAGATATGGGGCCTCTCTAGGACCAAGCCTGTTGTGCTCCGAAGAGACTGGCCACCGGTGGAGAACCTTGGCCACTGGTGGTTCTGGCTCCTGGTGATTGACATCCAACGGCAACCGGGCCACCATGTTCCATCATCAGTGATGGGTTTTGTGTGGCTCTTCCAACATGGATCCGTTCGGACACATTGCAAAGACCAATGTTGAAGTCGCGTTCTGGATAGAAAGCTATCCATGCTCCATACCAGCAAGTTCTTGACTTATGACCATTTGTGCAGTGACCAAAACGAAAGGGGACTTCATGAACCTTTTCACACTTAGTGACAGCTGCAGCGTCCCGAGTCGCGGGATCAAAATTCAAACGTTTGGCAAGTGACTCGCATTTACGACGCTTGTGTGATTCCCCTCTTGCGACTTTCCTACTAGCAAAGTCATATGGGGGGGGAGGGAGGGGAGCCAGCTTCACTTAAGGACTGCGTGACTAACTTAAAACTATGATTCGGTTAACAACTGTGGCAGGAGAGGTCGTAAAATGGGACAAAAGTCACTTCACAACGGGCTTGCTTACCAGTGTAGATTTGGGGCTCTGTTGTTTATAGAATTTATTTATATAGAATTTATCGGCTGCCTCCATCTTACCGTCAGGGAACTCTGGGGCGGCTCACAGCTACATATATGGTGGCCGTTAAGTCAAGGACTCCCCCGTAGCTGCTACTTTGACCTTCTCTCTTGGCAATTCCCACTTACCCCATTTCTGAAGGAGGCACCCCCCCTCCTCCTCCACCCTTGGGTCTCTTGAGCAGACCCTCCCCCTGGCCAGGGCAAGGCTTCTCCCCCGCTTGTGAGAGAGACAACACACACATACCCCGCAATGACACACAACCAGAGCTTTTTCATATTAAACTTGGTTTTTTTTTTATTGAGGTGCATTAACAAATGGGTTGGATTAACAGGGTGGAGGGGAGGAGAAGTGGGGGGGCCACAGCTTGACCTGGGAACAGCAAAGGAGAGTAAATATGAACGAAGGAGACAGTTCAAAAGGAAGGGAAGGGGTTTCTAGATGGTTTACACCCCCCCCCCACTTTCTCCCTCCCATCCCCACCCCCCCAAACAAAGATTCCCTAACCTGAAAACAGCTTTTTGGGTGGTTTACCCAGCGCGACGAGGGGGAGGAGGGAGATGCTAACCCCATAGAATGAGGGAGGGTCTCAGAGGGAGAGGGAATGAAATCCAACATGATTGACAGGGACCAGAGTAACCCTGCCCCTATATACTCCGCTGGAGGGAGGGCAAGTCCCTGTCATTCCAGCCCCCCCCCCACCCCTCCTGTCCCATTCTTGCAGACAAAAGGGGGCTCCAGCAAGGAGGAGGAGGGGGGGGATTTAAGCAAGCTCATCAACCAGAGTGGGAATTCCCCCCCCCCCAAAAAAAACACCCCACTTCGGTGCTTAACCTCCCAGCACAGAGAAGGGACCAAAACCTGTTGCAACCACCCAGCAGACAGGTGGAGAAGGGGGGGGGGAGACAACAAAAATAAAAACAGCCCCCAAACCCGCCCCCCATACATACCGCTGTCAACCCTCAAGAGAAACATTCATGGAGGAACAAAGACTTTTGATGGAGGGCTGGAGGAGGAAAGGTGTGGCAGCCCACTGGGGCGTTTGCTCAGCTGGGAGGGGGAGCAGAGGGATGAGAAAGGGGGTAGCTTTCACAGACACCCCCTCCCCTAATTCTGCCCTCTCTCCTTGAAAGGAGGATGAAAATGACAACGCGGGGGGGGGGGGGGGGGGGGGGCCGTATCGGATGCATCTACTCCCCCCCCCGGGTGAGCGACCGCCCCTGAGGGCTGCCCCCCCTTT